TATATGACTTTTCCCAATTTATGCAAAGGGCCAGCTTTTGAAAACAATGGATAGTTGTTGCTCTGACAAGGACTGCCTTGGGGTGTGATGTGGTTTGAGGAGGTAATTGTTGGGATAAGGAAATACGATTATTCGCAATGAGTGAAAGTGTGCTGTGGTGACATAGAGCACCTTGGAGAAAACCTGAGGGGCCGTAGACAGGCCAAATGGAAGGACCCGATATTGGTAGTGATGTGGGCCTACGGTGAACCTTAAGAACCTTCTGTAAGCCAGGGAATATGGAAATGTGTCATGGAGGTTGAGGGCTGAAAACCAGTCCCCTCGTTGCAGTGCCAGGATAATCATGGTTAGAGTGACCATGTAAGTGTTGCATCTTGACAAATTTGTTGAGGTTGCAGAGATCTAAGATTAGTAACCGCCCTAACTTCTTTTGAGTTAGGAAGTAACGGGAATCAAAACCTGGTCCACTGTGTTGTTCTGGGACCAGTTCTGTAACTCTGAGGTCTAGCAAATGTATCACCTCTTGATGTAAAAGATTCTCATGACAGGGGTCCATGAAGAGAGATGGGATGGGAAGGTGGGTAGGATGCTTGGAGAGGAAGGGAATGTTATATCCTGATAGGCTCATTGGTGACAGAATGGGTGGAAAGGGTTTTGGAATGTGTGCGTGGTCACTGGTGGCATTGAAACTTCTGGGAGGTCTTCGAGGCCTTCAATCAAGGCCTCAAATTTGCTTGTTGGCCGATGGCAGTTGAGGGGGCTGAACCTGATGACTGTCGGCATCTCTGGGGACAAGATCGGTTTCTATTCAGATTGAAGTGCGAATGTTGATTTAACTAAGCAGGGTACTGAGGTCATTAATAAGGTTGGCAGTGTTACTGCCTATGTCTGTCAGTGGGTGCATGAATGCCCAGGATGTGGAGGGTGGCATGTGTGTCCTTCATTGTATTAAGGACCTCATTGATTTTGCTGGCAAAGAGTTTTTGCCCGTCAAAGGACAAATCCTCAATGGTGGCTTGTATTTCACGAGGGAACAGACAGTGGTTCTAGCTGCTGTGTGCGCCACATCAAGCACAGCCTGGAGGGCTGCCTGAGAAATAGTGTCCCCCTCAGTCCCAATGGCCATAAATTGGGGTCTCTTTGCCTCCAGAATGTTGTCTACAAAGTCCAACAGTTTAGAATAATTCCTAAAATCATACTTTGCCAGCATGGCTGAGTAATTTGAGATCCTAAACTGTCAGTGGTTCTAGCTGCTGTGTGCGCCACATCAAGCACAGCCTGGAGGGCTGCCTGAGAAATAGTGTCCCCCTCAGTCCCAATGGCCATAAATTGGGGTCTCTTTGCCTCCAGAATGTTGTCTACAAAGTCCAACAGTTTAGAATAATTCCTAAAATCATACTTTGCCAGCATGGCTGAGTAATTTGAGATCCTAAACTGTAAAGTTGCAGGACCTGGTATGAGAGGATGTTGTACTGATGAGGTTGTGTGCAGTGTATAGGAAGTAGGAAGTTTGTAAGGGCTGGGCTGGATGCTGTGGTGTCTCCTATAGGAATCCCAAGGGCTCCAGTGAGGCCATTGAGAAGGGTGTGGCATCAGGAGAGGCATCCATTGGTGTCCATAGCACGAAGGAGCTGCATGTGAGTCATAATACAACTTGTAGGGAGCTGCATTGTGGCAAAAAGGATGCCTGTACTCCGTTGTCTTCATTGATGGGAAATTACAATGGTACCGGAGACAGTGTCTCAGGAATGGCTGGTCTTGGCGATGTATCTGTACTGAACAGAGGCGACTAAAGTGCAGATATGACTGCCAGATCCACATTGCACATATATGGGAGTGGCGCTGCCAGGATCGGTGCTTGAATCTGCAATGTCAGCTTGTGTGGTGCCAATGGCGTGGTCAGTGTGGATGATAGAGACCGTTGATATGTTGGCGGTACCAAGTATATAATTGGTGCTGCTAGTCTGGTTGGTGCTGGTGGTGCCGAAGTGTGGGCTGGTGCTGGCGGTATCGAGACAGATGCTGTTGGTGCCAAGATGGAAGATGGTGCTGTTGGTACTGAGGTCGCAGGCGACGCCATCAGTGCTGATGGTGGCAGTACCACGGTTTTCTGTATCGGTGCCGTAACTGACACCTGTGGCGTAGCCTACAGTGCTGGGCATTCATTGGTACCTCAGAGATTATCGGTATGGCACTAAGGCATCCTTTGTGTTTAGAGGTGGCAATGGCCAGCAGTACCACGATGCCTGAGGTGCCTGGGGCGTCATAGGTGCTGACATGAGACCTATGAAGAGACTGCCTGGAGGGGGACTGTTTCTTGCCACCAGTCTCCTGCTGAGGCACTGAGGAACTTCTCCACTTTGGTGCCTTCTTGCTGGGAGGGGAGCCTGGGATGATCGTGGTTGTACTCCCGGATCTGAGGCAGGATGGAGGTTCTTCTCCATTAAAATCAGCTTTAGTTGGAGAACTCTGTCTTTGCAGGTCCTAGCTGTAAGTTTGGTGCAGTGAGGGCAACTCTGAGTTAAGTGCTGTTCCCCAGGCATCTGAGGCATTGCGAGTATCTGTCAGAAATGGGCACTGCCTCTCTGTAGGAGGCACAGCATTTGAAGCCTGGCGAACCCCGCATGATATAATAAAAACGGGTTTTTTTAAAAACTATTAACAACTAATTCGCTAAATTACACTAACAATAACAAGACACTAACTATAAACTATCTAAACTATTGCAGAATCATCAAAAAAGCAGGGAACTGCAGAGCTCCATCTCAGGCAAAGGGCAGTTGAGAAGGAACTGGAGGGCGCTGGCTGCGCATGTGCGGTGCCTACTGGAAAGCATGTGCTGGTTGGTGCTGTGCATGCGCGGCCCCTTCAGAGACTGCTTCAAATCTCTGATCCAGCCGTCAGGACAGCACCAAGACCCAGCGCGGAGCATCCATGGGAACCTCTTGGAGAAAAATAATTTTAACTTTAGCTCTCAGTTTTTGAGAGAGCTCAGCTTTAGCTGGTGATAGTGGGATTGTGATCATCAAATACAGCAATATCAACACATTCTTTCCCTGAAGTTTGGGAAAACCACACCCTCAATTGGTAATGAGATGAACTCTCTGAACTAAAATATATTAGAATTTAAATTTAAGATATAGTAAAGAAATTATTTGGTAAAAATTCATTCAAGACTGGCAGGTACATTATTTTGCCCTAAGCAAAGATAGATTTTGGTATTTTTCTTACTAATGGCTCTCTGACCTCCTTTTCCAACCAACTCACTCAAACTCATGAAGTGCCCTCTCTTCATTTCCTTTTAAGAACAATATCTCAGTTTCTGATCATGTGTAAGAGGTACTCAAAGTTCTTGAACACACTTCAGAATACAAAAGATTCTTGGGCATATGAAAGGTGGGTACCCTTTGCTCATGACTAAGCAGAAACAGGGTAACACTTTTTAGAAGGGAGTTGGTGGAACAAAGAGTATTTTGGAGCTAGACTACTTGTGAATGCCCAATGTCTAGCACTATTCTAGTGATTCTTCCTCAGACATGTATCAGACTCATTAGCCTATGCTGAAGGCCACTCTTGATTATAATGATAAATGAAGAAAGAAATATTTTCAGAAAACCTTGTCCTCACAAGCAAATGAAGAAAATATACAATAAAATATTTATTATTTTCTGATCACTGCATTTAATAATTATTTGCTCTCATTTTAACTCCCTATAGCACAAAAATGATGTTTTAAAAAAAAGTAGAAATATAAGGAGAAAGGTAATTTTTCAATGGTTGTATATTAAAAAAAAGTATGTTAGTATTCATCTTGAGAAAAATATAGCTTTCATTTTTCCCATTGTGGGCTGAGATTGTATGCTAAGAGTGTATATTAAAAGTTCTACAATTAATTAATAATTTAATGTTAAAATGGCACAGGAAAATGTGTGTTTGGTTTTACATAAAATAGTATATGTGCACTGGATGTTTATGACTGTGTGGATGTGTGCAGGAGTAACTGCATCAATTAAAACAGAACATAGAGCAGACATGCCAATGCAAGTTTCTCAGACAGCTTTGCCAATGCACCTCAGTCTTAACATGAAACACTGTTCTCATCTTCACACTCATTGGACAGAAGCTGTCAGACAAGCCAAGTCCTCATGTGATTGTTTGGAGATGATATAAAATTGACTACACATCTTAGGATCGTTGGTTGATCACATCCTATGTCCTGATTATGACAAAGAGATCCATGTAGCATCCAAAATTTCCGAACAAGGTGCAATTTCCCCACATGGCATCAAGTCAATTATGCTATATTATACATAGGGTAATGGAAGGGAAGGAATAATATATTTTCTGACCCCTTCAGAATTTGAATATTTTACATAATTACACGTTATACTCATAAAATTAACCAGGAAAAATTTCACTGAGAGGGGCATTTAATCTCACAGGCTAACTATGTGCTATGTCAAATAGCATTTATTTGTTCTAAATTTGCACGCTGTTAATTTCACTGAGTAATATGCTGATAATATCACTGGACTGGAGAACTAGAAAATTCTGGATTTAAAGCTGCCATATTTTATTCCTGATATACCCGTATTCAACATTTTACTTACGGAAGAGAGTTTTCTCTGGGCCAAACGACCAAAACTAGACAAGAGCTACTGAAAGCAGCATGCAATTATCTAGCAGAATTTCATGGTTCCCTTTTCTATTCACTGCCCATTCTATTTGCTTTATTCACTGCTAATGAACATTGGATACAGTGTTTCACTGAGTGATACCTATTGACTTCTATATTTTTTCCTTGGATGATCTCCATATATATGGAGGGAGAGAGAGGAAAAAAATAGAAAGTATTAAGTATTTTTGCTATAGAAAGTATTAAGTATTTTTACTAAAGTGCATTTCTTCACATTTATCTAATTTGAACTTCAGTCACTCTTATGCTGCCCAATCTCCCACAGCATTTACACCTATCTGGAATTCTTTAGACTCATACTTACAATACGAACAAGCCAGGATAGGGTAGAAGTAGATGTTGAATAATGGGTGTTATAATGATAAGGTGACGTTTGATCATCTTCCCAAGTTTCATAGCGCTCAGCATAGAATACTGCTCTCTTTGGGTTCAAAGCACCAATGGGCTGCAAAAAAATGAAAAGATTAATAATTATAACAGATGACGGGTAATATGCTTTGGATCTCTGCGTCACTTTTATTCTGCATATATTAGCTAAGACTCACTAGATATGAAATTCAGCAGCCAACTGCAGATAACTTATTCCACATTGCGCTAATCCATTTGGATTACTGAGATGGATTTGAAATTTTATTTCAAAGACTGGATCTACTAAATCTCTCAACTTTTCTTTTCTTTTCCTTTCTTTAATTGACAAATATATGATATCCACATCTGCAAAATTTCAAAGACTTTCTTGAAGTCAAAGTTGTTTCCCAATTAATTCAGTAACATTGTTCTGGAAATACACTCCCAAACTGCATTTAAAATGCATTAAGACCAAACTAATATTTCTGTGGTTGTCATTCACCATAATGATACAGCTAATGAAAAGTGACTTTTGCTCACACAGGATACTTTGTAATGCACATTTCATGATGAAAAGATTTCACGCAGAACTGGTGGTGGTGTTTGGTGATCTTAAGCAGAAATACTTGAAAACATTCATAGCCTGCAAGACAGCATCTACAACACTGACTGAACAAAACCAGGTTTCACAGAAAGAAAGGAACAATCTTCTAACTTGAAAGAAATACCAGGAATGGAAAGTTATTCAATAATTCTCTATATAATCTGTGTCTCCCTTGCACACAGACCATAGAAGTTAAATATAAGTTCACTAGAAATTAAAGGGGCAGGTAGAAACTCTTAGTTGTATTGTATTTGCTTAGATCCGTATTACTACATTTCATATTAATACAATGTGAGTGTTAATTTCTGTCATAATCCTCTGTAAAAGGGTACTAGTTATGGCTTCCTGTCTACTATGAAGCTAACGTGGGAACATACAAAAACTGAGAGATAATACATGTAAAGTGATCTTAACTATGCATTTTCATGTAAGATGTTACTAAATTATTATTTGGTAATAACTGTAACAACAGAAGCAATAGTAATCTGCTAAGACCCAGCAAGGATGAATTTTTGTATTAAAATTGATAAAATGTGATTTCACAATCAGAGGAACACACATTACTCCATACTAGGATGAATAGTTCAAAAAAGTATTAATGTTTATTTATTAGAATTCCAAAAGACTACTTCTTATATATTATGATTATATAAATAGTTAAGGGTTGGGCATTTTTATAATAAATCCCTATTAATTAGGTATTTTAAGTTGAATGTATTTTGTAATATTTTCTCAAAATATTAGAAGTTGTTCAACAATATTTTGAACTAATCAGCACAGTTCAATATATACTACATATCCAATATAACTTCAAAAATATTTTACTTTATTATTACACTTGTATCTTTAATAGAAAATTGGTCTGTCCATTAGAAAAATTACAAGTATTTTCTACATATTTCATTCCGGAGCATATTTTTGAAGATTAGTTTAAACTCATTTTACATGAAACTAGAGGACTATCAATCCAATATGAATGCCATCATCATTATACTGTGTATATCACTAAAAGATATTACTAGAAGAGGCTTAATTAAGTATTGAATGTTTCTGGATTTCCCTGGGCTTTTGAGATGTCTGTGCATTAATAAAATTGAAGTACAGCACATTAATTTCACAATTTAAATAATGTATCTAACTTCTAAGATAGTTCATATTGTTTTATTCTGTGAATAATTATACTTTAAGTCAATGCTATACCAGAATTTTGGTTTACCCTAAACATTCTTAGTGCTTAATAACTTTGCTGTGTCATGGGTATGTGAACAGCTTTCTCATATGTGTAAAATGTCTGAGTAATCCCTAAGGATCAGCTTTATCTGATACAGATTGCACTGCAAGGCCTCACAAAACATTCTTGAAAGAGAAGCATGACCCATTCCCTAATCTCTTCCAGGCATCTTCTCAACTACTGAAAAAAGAATAAAATAAATATTTACATTTTTTATTTTACTCATGTGTCATCAGTTATTCAATCTCTTCAGTCTTTTACAGTTTAGATTTACTGGAAATGCTCATACATTGTACCAGTATATAATTTATACTTATAATTATAATTCAGTATATACTGATACAATGTATGAGCATTTCATAATAAGTGAGGATCATTTATTATGAAATGCTTATATATTGTAGCAGTAGAAATTTGTAAAAATATTTGCTGAAAAAACTTCTAGAAAGATTGACTTGTTAAATGACTATTTTCTTTTTCCTATTTATTTGACATACTATACAAATACACGTCCTCTTACAAAAGAACTTTACTAATTCACACTAATATCTGGGTTCTCTTTATGATTAACTGATATATTCTGCAAAACTTTAAATGAAAGAAAAATTAACTGACTGAGATTAGCAGCAATCTCACTGCTGTCATTTAGGGTTCACTTCCCAAGACCCAATGGCTATTTGAAAGTTTTAAAAGCTCTATTTTCAGTGACAACAGTATAGATGATTATGCTTGTTAACAAACAATGCTCACTCCTTCTGAGAAGCAAATCCAGAATGAGTTAGTGTAACATGATTTTGTATTTCCCACAATGTAAATGTCAGTGAGAGTTTAGTTCACTGTAATAGCAATGCAAAAACATTGGGAGCTGCAAATGACAAAGATGTGACCTATCAAAGTTTTATTATAAATACTTGCATGATGGCCTACTTGGGAGTGAATATGTCTTTAATGAACAGAGCAGGTTTGGAATCAAAACTCTAGAGCTGTAATCATGTATTTAAAAACTGATTTGCAGTTGCAAGGCCTTCAACAAAAGAATCACAATATTCAATTTCTCCCTCTGCAAGATGGGTGTAAACATAAGGATTTTTGTGAGGCTTAAGTGATGCTTGAAAAGTATTTTGAAATATTTTTAACTGAATAAGTTATATACTAGGAAGATGTTATTGCCTTTAATGATGATTTATAGCTATATATCAAAAATATATTTTTGATGTGAGGTTATCTATTTTTGCCACATTTAATGTAAAATATACTGATGCTTCCATTTCTCTCAGGTAGCTGACAATATAATTTCCAAGAATCATACAAAACATCGATGCAAACACCTCTGTGCTTCTGAGGTCTTCTGAGGATGAAGAAGTGAAATTTTAATTTAGCAGTCCGATATTAGATATAAGGTTATATACTATTTCTTTTATGTCATAAAGAGACAAGCTAATTTTTCTAGAAAATGCATGTTCAATTTACTTAAACTAAAAGCTGTGTTCTAAAGGCTATACTTATTCTCATTGATATTCTTTTTAGATTTAGATTTCAGTTTTCTTTCAATTAGCTTAGAATTCATCAGGGAGGGAGGATCGGAATCACACAATGTGCTTGCTGAATAAAATGGACAAAATGAGGAAAATGCCCCATCTAAATTGCCGGGTTTTTTTTTCAAAAAGCCCCGTTTCAAAAAAAGCAACAGCCGCCATTATGCAAATGAAGCACAGGATATTTAAAGCCCACGCTTCATTTGCACTTTCAATACGTCTAATTTACATCCCTCTGCCGACAAAGGAGTGTGGTTTGGAAGCAGCCTCAGGGTACCTCTAGACTACAGGCTTTTGTTGACAGAAGTTTTGTTGGCAGATACTGTTGACAAAGCTTCTGTCGACAAAGAGCATCTAGACTACAGCCACTTTGTCGACATGACAGTGTAGACGCAAAGGACAGTGTAGATGCAATAACGCCTTCTGTTGACAGAACTCTGTCAACAAAAGGCGTTATTCCTCGTAGAATGAGATTTACAGTTGTTGAAAAAACTGCTGAGTTCTGTCAATGTTATGATGACAGAATTCAGCGGCAGTGTAGATGCAAGTATAGTTTTGTCGACGAAAGTTCACTTTTGTCGATAAAACCCTGTAGTCTAGACACACCCTCAGTGTCTACCTTTGTCTCTATTCTCCATCTGTAAAATGGGGATAGTACTTTCCTACCTCAGGTGGTAGTGCAAAGTCAAGTGCATAAATACTTCGGAATTGTACCAATTTTGCAGCAATAGGGGCCAACTGATAGTTCACTTTGTATGTTTGCAATGTGTCCATAAGCTCTGGGGAATGTGGCCACATACCCCTATACACGTTGAATGAGTGTAGAATAAGCTTCTGACTCACTGGGCCACTCTGCTGACCAGTGGTGAAGGCACAGTGAGGGCATAGTCCTGCTCATACACCTCCCTGGGGGTGCTACCACTGCTGTGGACATTAGCCTAGAGATGTTCTAATGCTTGTTGAGTATAATTGGATAATTACTAGCCTAGATGATCTTTCCAAAGGGAACAATTTGAAATCATCTTGGAATTTGCTCGAGATTAAAAGATATCTGCCATTTATTTAAACAAAGTTTCTCTTGAAGAAAGAGTCTTGATTTTGCTAACACAAGTTAATATTTCCAGATGAATCTGCAGAACACTTAATAAAGCAATAAAAATATGATTTAACACCACTTCTATGCTTAGTCCCCTCCCTTCTCTGCCCCCATGTGTAAGAGATATGCAGAGCGAGATTACACCCACAGCTGTTTACGTGGAGAGGTCCTCCATTCTTGGATCTCCCCCTCCACACAAAAGAAAAACTGAATGGGCTCAAGAACTTCCTGCATATTGTTCTCATCCCAGATTTCATACAGAGTATCTGTTTCTCTGAGGTACTTATACAGCCCCCATTATCACAGCAGGTGAGTAGCTGGCAGCATTTAATGAATGTATCTGCAATACTGTCCCTGTAAGTCAGGGAAGTATTATCTCCCTTTCAAATACAGGTCACTGAGAAAAAAGGAATTAAGTGACTTTCCTAGTGAGAGGCAAAGCTTGTAAGTGAAGCCATATATCTTAAGTCCAAGTCCAGAGCCTTAGATGCAAGCCTAGACCAGCAGTCTAATATACCTGAGGCTAATTCATTGCTCTGGCACTTCATGTTAAAAATGTATCATAGAAGTTGTTACAAAACTATATCAATAAAGCCATTTGATCTAAATATACAGTTTCCTTTGTTTTATA